GTTCAAGGCCAGGTTGGATGAGGCTTTGGGCAACCTGGTGTAGTGGAAGGTGTCCCTACCCATGGCAGGGGGTTGGAACTAGACGGTCTTGAAGGTCCTTTCCAACCCAAACCGTTCTATGATTCTATGACCACGTTGCTTCAGGGGACACTCAGAGGTGCCAGGACAAGCATCCTCCAGCAAGACTGATAAGAAGTACTGCACCAACTGCGGGCTGAGTCAAAACCCAGCAAGTTCTCCTGCCCTTCCTAAGTCATCTCTAGGACTGTCCACAAGGACTTGGCGTTGTTCCCCATGTTGCTCCATGCCTGCTCTGATGACAGCATGGGGGGTGACCCTGCTTCAGCCTCCCAAAAGCAGAGGAAGGCTTGAGAAGAAGCGCTGCCGAGTCAGGACCTGGGCTGGCTGCCCCCACCCAGAGACCCTGACACCCAGAGTCTGCCCCCTCTTCCCCAACACCACATGTGCCACGCAGCTGCCTCAGGAGGGGCAGAGCCTGGTACCGGTACGAGAGGACCAAGGCACTTGAAGAAGGCAACGCCATACCCACTGGCATGGCAGCCGTGCCCCTAAGCCATGGGGCAACAGGGTTCCTGACGCAAGCCCTGCTCTAATCCCACGGAGGGGGAAATGCACGTCACCTAGAGTTTAGCAGAGGATGAAGCAATACCCAGCAAGGCGGGGAAGTTGTTGGCAGAGGTCAGCCAGCTCCCGCCATCCACAACCAGGGTGGTGCCCGTCACGTAGGAGGACAGGGGGCTTGCCAGGTACAGCGTGCTGTGGGCAATCTCCGTCTTGTTCCCCGCGCGCTGGAGGGGGATTGTGTCGAACAGGCTTGCTTCCTCGGCAAATTTCCCACCTACGAGCGGTGGAAGAAAGAGTCAGCTAGTACCACAGGACCACCTGCCCACCACCACGGCCTGCCAGGCACTGCAGCACCACTGGCACGGGGCTTGCTGAGAGCCCCGGGGAACCCAGATGAGATCCTGGCACAGCCCTGGGGACAGCCCAGAGACAAAGGCCTGAGAAGAGGGTTAAAGGAGGGGAGCTCAAGCCCAGTGGTTGGAATTGTACTGGAACAGTGAGTTCAAGACAGGACCTCGGGGAGCTTTCCAGGCTTCCAGGGCTGATCCAGCACTCTGCTGACGCACTTTAAGAGCTAAACTGTCAGGCAAGGCAGCTGGTCAGGCTGAGCTTTGTGGGAGCACGTTACAACATGGCATCAGAGGGCACAAAAAGCTGCTGCCTGACAGAAAAATCATACAAGGTACCGAGGATGCGGGAAGGGCTGCTCCTCCAAAGAGATGTGCCAGCTGAGGACTGTCATGCCAGCAGCAATGGCCCCAGCTACATCACACGCCCCACGAGCTGCGTGGCACTGGTGGCCTGTGACAGTCCCCTCCCAGACAGATGCCAGCAAACCTCTGCTGCGGCAGAGACAGTCCCCCTGGTTGCCTTACCCAGCCGCCGGTAACCCTCGGTGCCTGTAATGGGCCCCGGTGCCAAGCTGTTCACTCGGATATTGTTGGGTCCCCACTCCACAGCAAGGTGACGAGTCATGGCATCTGGGAAGGGATTACAACAGGAATGAGAAACGGAGACTAGAGCCATTCCGGTAACTTTTGGGGGGACAAAACGCCACAGGAGACTTTGGCCAACAGCAAAGGGCCCTGTTAGAGCAAGCCCGGGGGAGAAAAGAGCCTCATCCCAAACCCAGGCATGTAGTAACAACACTGATTCATATTCACCTCTCCCATGGATATCCTCTCATCCCAATATTCAGGAAGAACCGGCTTCCTTACTGGCCCCACATGGCTCCCC